GGCAAGCCGGTGCCCATCATCAGCGTTGCCATTTTAGCCGTTTTCCGGCTAGATTTAGCCGGTTTTGATAGCAACTAGCCGGAGAAAATTCGATCTAGCCGGCAGCCGATTTGTTAGCCGGTTTGTAAAAAAAAGTTAGCCGTTTTTAGCCAATTTTACTATTTGCCTAATTTTCAGGTGCAAAAAGTAAACAAGTTGTTCGAAAGCAATAATGCAGACCCAATGAAGATTTTTAATGAACTCAATGTTTTACTTTCGCATCTATGCTCCCTAGTGGTTATTAGCGCGGACACATTTGATCCTATTGCTCCCCGTTGGAACCATACCTTGCTCCATTTCCTCAGTTTTATCACAGTTTTGAAGAGTATTTAAAAACAAAAGTAAGCACAAACGCTTTTGACCACGAAGCCGAGAAAATAATTCGAGAAAATGGTCGCTATTTTATTATCACTTTAATAAAGGAATTACGCCAACGCCTCCCTACAAATATTGCCACACTAAAAAAATTGAATTTTTTCGGTTGGAAATGCATTAAGAGTAATTAAACCAAAAGTATTTGTTCAACTACAGCAACAAAAACACAAATATAATGCCGACGAAATAACATCCATAGAGATGCAATGGCAACGGTTAACGTTACATACCTGGAGTAATTTAGACTCAACTGTCAAATTTTGGGCCGAAGTTTATCAATTTCGAAATGCCCTAGGAGAAAACCCTTTTGCTGACCTTTCCAACCTAGTTTTTAGTTTTATTGTTTTGCCTATAAGTAATGCAGAAGTAGAGCGAATATTTAGTTCAATGAATATAATAAAAACTAAGCAAAGAAATCCAATGTGCGTTAAAACGTTAAACGCTATTTTGTATATAAGATACGGTTTAAAACGTGAAGAAAAATGCTGCCATAATTTTACTGTAGATGACGATCTCTTAAAATTAATGAATTCAGGTGATATATACAATAGTGATTAATTTGATGATGAGGAATATACACTCGATATAAATTAATGGTGTTAACTGGTCTTTCGTTTCTTGCGATTTATTTAAATAAAGCATGTGAATTTTCACTAAAACATTTTAGCCGTTTTTAGCCGCTTTTTTTTGCCAATCTAGCCGGTCGGCCCAAAACGTTCTGGCAACACTGCCCATCATCGATCTAAAGTAACAAACCCCTAAAACAGAGATGGCAGAGAGCGCTTTTACTGTGCATGGTCAATATAAAATCTATATAAAGCTCAAAAAAGCTCTTCACGCGTAAAGTGGATTTAAATTGAGTGGTGCAAACGGGCATTTGGCTTTTGCATCGCTTGTAAAAGTTATCAATACTGGGAGCCAATTCTGGTTCTATGAAATTGTGAAGTGAAACTGGAAAATTCAATGTCAGTGAAGATTTAATTTTTTCACTTTATTATTTTGTTATATCATTTTAAGCGATTCTCGATCAATAAAGGCTTTTCTTTTAACATCTAGCAAGTAATTATTTAGTAAATTATTGTGAGTTTAAGGCAATAATATTCTTTATCACAAAAAGGTGGTTTTGGGAAAAACGCCCAACTTTTCTTTTTCACAGCCACAAAACTTTGTGAAAAAAAGTTTTCACAACGAAGAAAGAATCGTAATTTTATGTGAAGTGATGAAAAATGTTTTCACTTCACATTTTCACAGAACAAGGATTGGCCCCCTGGAGTGATATTTGATTATTTTTTCTCTACGTATTTTTTGTGAAAAAGTCTTTACCTGTCTACCCAGGGGTATAACATAAATTTATAGAATTTGTTGAAACTTGAAATTGTTGTTTATAATAAGTTTGTTCATCTGTTTTTCCTATTTTTCTCAACACCTGCGCTGAAAAAGTGACACGTCAAAATTGTTATTTTAAGGACTTTGATTGTTTATAAAAATTAAAATAACATAGTTAAAACGAAAAATAAACAAGTAATTTTTAGCAAAAAAAAACCGACTTAAAAAAAATATATATATGTCTATATATTTCATGATCTAATGATTAGTATGGGACCACCTCTGAGACACTACATTTCCGTTGCAAAAAGAATTATTCAAATCGGTTGACGTGGTGCAAAGTTATGCGGTAACATATATAAAAAAAAAAAAAAATATTCCGACGAACTGATAACCTCCTCCTTTTTTGGAAGTCGGTTAATAAACAAATAAATAAGTTACAAGAACTCACAAAATTTTTTATCAAAATGGCCTAAGTTTTTTATAAAAACTAAAATCACATTAAAAGAATTATTTTAAATTTTCATATGAGAGCACATTCAAATACCAAAAAAAATATTCAGATGATAGGCGAGTATCTCTTTCGTACGCCGAATTTGCACTAGGAATTGAAATGGCAAAAAATGTATGCCATTATTTTTAATGCTATGTCGAAACAGACATAATATTGTCTGGTAGAAATTCAGAATTAGGCATTCGATTGGACATCTTCTGAAATTCTTTGATGTTGATGATGACCTTATAATGAGTGGGGTTAGATGATCATTTCTTTAAAATTAAAAAAAAAAAACTCATTTAGAGCAATGACCCGTGATCTTCCGCCATTTAGCTAAGGTGGCCGCCGATTATAGTCAGTTCCACGAAATGTTTGTGCACTGTTACCTCTGCATATATGTACCCCAAATATCCAATTATTTTAGTGTATAATGAAAGATATTCCAACTATATCGGGTTATAGGACTTTTGGGAAAATATTTCCGCTGAACCTTAAGGCAATTTCTTTATAAAAAAAATGTCACCTTTTCATTGCCCTTTTCTTAGTATATGTGCGCAGAGGGCAATGATCAGGCAACATTTTTCGGTAGAAAATAAAATGCTTTTAGAGAAACCACTGAGAGAAGCTTCAGCTTTCAGATTTGTTTTCCTACACAGGAAACTCAAAGCTACTATTCTCATATCCACTTATTGCACAGTTTTCTCCTTACTCGCTGCTCTGAACCAAAAACAGAGCTTCTCTTTATACCGTTTGAATGAAGTATCGTACAGTCAAACTATAACAAAGACGAGTTCTGAAGAACAACAATTATGAAAATCAACAAAATATTTAAAATTTGATAGCCACCCTTTGAAAAAGGAGTGACGTCAATCCTCACTAAATTCAGTTTTTGACCTGACGTCTCGTTAATACCAAATATCGACAAAGTTTCTAGAAACCTTATCTAGGGCCGGCGGCTTCCCAGCCCATGACGTAAATCTAAATATGTTTTGTTATTGTGAAAAAGTGCCGATTGCATTTCATAATTGAAGGTAAAAAGGCACAACATTGGGCCGTATGAATAAAAACTAGGCAGGTGCTCTTTCTTAAAATTTCAGGCCCTTTACTTAAATTTGTTTGCATAAATCGAGTAAAAGGTCTGAAATTTTAAGAAAAAGCTTAGTTTTTATTCATACCACCCATTGTTCTGGTAAAAAGTTCGACTAAACACTTATTCTATTGAAAATTCGCCTCACTCAACTTTTTTCTTTTGAAAGCAGTATAAAAATTCACTGTTTTGTTTACGAGTTTCATCTCCAGCCATAATCGATGGCACAATTGTCTTAAATCATATAAATATAACGAGCTAATCGATTATGCTACATATGTACATACATATGTATATAGCGGCAACAACAAAAAAATAACACAAAAATTTTTATATAATTGAAAAGGGAAGCAGCCACACAAAAAAAATAAACACGCAGCTGACCTTCCCACGCCGATGCACTATGGGCAATATGAGGCATTTGCTGATAAGAAATCTGTGACTTTTTGCTTTTTAAAGTTACGGTCATGATCGTGTAGATTTAAACTATGCATTCTTCATTTTTATATCTCATTTGGTTCCCAAGATATACACCCATATGTGGGCTTAAAAAACATAAAAAGTACACTTTCTGGTTAAATGGAAAGAAGATATTATACTATTGGTATTAAACGATTGTTTTTATAAAATCTTATTTCAGATGTATATATTTTTTTTAGATAGATTACCCTGTATTTAAAAAAAAATATATATATTAAAAAAAAATTTTCTGAACTATTGCATTATAGTAGCTGCCAAAAGAAAAGTATATAAAAACACCCTAATAAATCAAATTTTCAATAGTATACCAAATTGAGCTTTGGCAAAAGCTTATCGTTTTCTAAAAATTATTGACTTCGTCGGATGTTATTTCAGCATTACATGACTCAAACGATTCTAAGACAGTTTTCTTTTTTTTCGATATCTGCCGTCTTTATAGCTTCCACAATATTAGCTTCAACTCTTTTACCCATCGCAGTCCTTGCAAATATGCTTCATATATGTGCTCAAATCCGTATTCTCTCAAAAGTGTATTGTTTTTGCGTCTTTTAATGAAATCAAATTCAAAACATACCCAAGCGGAGAAAACCGAAAAAAAAATGTGTTTTATTACAGAAGCTATTGCTGCAACCTGTTATTTGAAAATAAAATATTTATAGCTAATTTTAAATCTGAATATAACATGTAACTCAAGTCAGTATTTCTTAATAGGCCCTTGCTAGGAAAAAATTCCTAAAAATTTCAACAATTTGAATATGTCAACTTCTTAAGCAATTTTCACTTTATTTCATTAAATAAACACACAAAAAATCATTTGATCATTAAAGCACGCTTTATTCCCTAAAAAATGATACCAAACACTTATGTTATTTACAACTTTTCAAAAATGCATTTATGATCAGCCTTTGTACTAGCTCGTTCCATAGTGCGACGCCCCAAATTTTTTATGTAGCTTTTCGCTTGTTCGAAAAGAAGGTAGCAGAGCGGCAGAGACAACAAAATACAAAAAAAAAAAAACTAGCAAGATGGAACGGAAGAATGACCTTGCCGTACAAAAGCACGCAATGTCGAGTACATACATACATACATGCATACACACCCATACAGAGCTATATACTAGGCGCACAAATTTTGGGCCACTTCCAGATACAACTATGTAAAACAAAATTTCATAAGTTAGTCCCTTTGGCTACCAACCTGAAAATGTTGCGGAATTTGTTGTTGTTGTTGGCCTACTGTTGGCGCCTGCTGCTGATGTGGATGATGATACGCTTGCTGTTGTTGTTGTGGTGTTTGTTGCTGCTGGCGTGGCGAGCCATATGCGGCGGCATTGGGATCAGCATAATAGCCGCCGGCTGGTTCATGATGTATGGGTATATTGATGCCATTGGTGGTGTTGCCGGCTACAGAGCCACCGCCGCCACCACCAACGCCCGCTGAGGCGTTTGCATTCGCATTGGATAAGACGGTAGGGCGCATTGTTGTTGACGTTGTTGGTGGTGTTGCTGGTTTTGGTCACCTCGTTGCTGCGCTCAGTTAAAGTTTGTTGTAGATTTTTCTTTTATTGATTATTTATTTATTACGATATTTGCTTGTTGTTGCAGAAATATCACTGATTAAAGCTTTATGTTGCGGTTCGTAGTCACTAATGTTAATTTCGGAAATAGTTTTGAATTTTTTTTGCTTTCGATGTTTTAGTGCAAATTCTAATGTAGATGGGTTATTTATTTTTCCAAATTTTTATTTTTTTAAATTTGTTTTGCTTTAATTAGTTTGAATTTTCGTTGACTTTCTCTTTTGCTGGAAATATTGCTGCCACTTTACTGGAATTTAGGAAATTTATCAGTTCTTAAATTTGTATTCGTTTAATTAATTTTCGTGAATATTTGTCTCAATGAAATCTGGTTCAATAACGAATGAATATTATGGATTTAGGTACAGGAAACTTGAGCGTTTGGATATGTAATCGCCGGAAAATTTAAAATAAGATATTAAAAAATAAAAAAAAACAGTTTTTGTTTCAGAAAATTTGGTTTAGCTTAAAGCAATTGAAAAGTTCCATATTTAACTTATAGTTTTGTAATTTTATTTTTACAAATCTTTAAATAAGAAATTATTTCATTTATAAAATAAAATTTTTAGCGACTGGAAAAAATGTCCAGAAATTAAATTTTTTATGATATGGTAAGAAATCTGTTATATTTTTGTGTTAAATTTTCGAAATTTTATTTGATTGCGTACATTTTAATTGTTATGTAATATGTATTTTCAAAACTCTGCACTTTTCTGGATAGAGCTTAAAAAGTTTCGGTATTTCAAATGTATTTTTTTAATATTAAAATAATTTTCTTGAGTTCATTGACACTTTGCAAACAAACAAAACAAAAACCCAAAAGTTTTGAAAATTTTAATGCACTAATTTTTTTTTTTTAATTTTGCATTTTAATTTTTTTGTTTGCGTTTGTAAAATTTGAATTTTTGTAATTTTTAATTTAAAAGCTTGTATCAATTTGACTTTATGTTAGGAAATATAGAAAATTGTGTTATTTTTTAACTTAAGAAACTCAAATTAAAAAAAGGCTTTCTTTATTATAATTTTTACTCTAAATTTTAATATTCAGTAAAATTATTCAATTTCAAATTTGTCTAAAATTCCATAGCTATTGAAAGAAAAATACCAATAACAGTGGTCGCATTTTTTTCCTGAATCAAGTTTTATAAAAACATAAAAAAAACAAACAAATTACAGAATATATATTTTTTGAGACGTACGAGTAGGAGCAAAAAAAGTTAGTACGAACGTCGCCCAAGCAAAAATATGTAATTGAGTTTTGTTTATTTCCGACTCGCAATTAAGTGAATTTATTAATTTTATATTTTTCTGACGATTATTTATTTTTTTTTTGTAAATATTCGAAATATCTTTTTGAGATTTTTTAGGCGGACATTTAGCCAAATTTAAAATTTGTCCCAAGACCCTAAATATTTAATTTAAGGTTTTTTTTTAAGTTTTTATGAAAAAAATAGCAAACATTTTTCTCAACAACAAAAAAAAATCTTGTTATAAATAACACCGGCACACAAAAAAAGGTGGTGTGGTCTTGGAATCTGAATCTGCGGTCCGTTTAACTCGTACACCTCCAAAATTTCGAGTAAATTGCAAAAAATGCGAATTTTTTGCAATCTTTTTCGGTTTCGGTGTATGAGTCAAACGGACCTCAGATTCCGATTAGGTAATTTTCACGAACGTTTGGCCCAAACTAAAAAAATAGTTTGTAGTTAGTAGTTTCAAGAACATTGTATGATATTTTTTTTCCTAAATATATATCTGCTTGAAAATTAAATTTTTAAGAATTCTTTATGAATTAAAATATGTATGCAGATACTTGATCCAAGAATTATTTTGCCCTAAAACTTGCTGTATATACACACTTAATAAAAAATCTTTGTTTATTTTTTTTTTTTTTATAAATAGTAAACAGTTTTTTTTTGAAAAGTCATATTAATAAATGGTATTTGGGCTAGTAGAAGAAAATTATAGTTATCTAAATCGTGCAATTTATAAAATTTAAAAGTTTGTTGATAATACATTTTTTTCACATTTTCAATTTTAAAGCGTTTTCCTTTTTATAATGAAGAGTTAGCAACTAAAATTCGTTATTTCTTTACTTTTTGTTAAATTTTATTTCACTTAATTTTTTTAAGTTTATTGGTTTTTATTAACGAAATGTGTTATTTTCGTGAACACTAGAAACATTTTTCACAAACTTTCCGCTTCTACAATCAAATGCGATTTTTTCTTAATATTTTCCACCAAATTATTTGCTAGTTATTTTTGTTTTTAATAGAATTTGCAAACTTCTTCATATTTTCTTGACTTTGCACACTTTATATGACTGCCGGTTGCTCACAGCTGTCTCAGCTGTTGCGGCGTTGTTTTTTTTTTTCTTGGCCCCTTCTTGATTGGTGTGGGTGGCGTATGAGCAACCATAAATGCGCGAGCGTTAATCTTTTAGCCCACCACTATATGTATTCAGCTCGCCCGTTTTACCACCAACAGCTCGTTCTGTACGTGGCGGCGTTTGCTCGGCCGAAATTCGACTGTTCGCTTACTACCCGCTACTACAGTTGGCTGCTTAGCCATTTGCTAATGTTATGGCTACTCGCTCGCTAGTTGGCTGGCACCCCTGCTCTGCCGGACTATTCTGACCCACTAGCCACACTAACCAGCTATTAACATAGTTGCTTGGGTGGTGAGGAGGCGCTCAATTTTCGTGGCAGTGTCGGGGTTGTTGCTGGCTACACTCATTTATTCGCCCCTTTCTGTGCGCGCGCGCTTGTTGGGGGGTTTCTTTGTTATTGTCGTTGTTGTTGTTGCTGATGTTGCTATTGTGCTGCTATTGCCTTTTGTTGGTGGTGGAAAAATTCTATTGCGATGTTTCTAGTAGCTTTTGGATATTTAGCGGACATTTTGAGAAAAAAATTTCGTAGCAGTTCGCAAAATACACACACGAATGGGATTTACTTGAATTTTAATTAAAATTTTCTATAATTCAATTTATTTGCATTTTAATTGTTTTTCGATACCAACTGCTAGTGTTGTATAATGTGAGGAAACCGGAATTTCAACCGTATTATTCTATCGATTTTCGTAAAGTATAAAAGAAGGCTGTTGCGTTATTGTTGTTTCGATTGTTGTTGTCATGCCGTTTATTGCACGCACATTCACCTTGAGCAAAAAAAGTCGCATTAATTTAACCTAAAAGCACTTGCAGCACCAACAAATGGCGTTTTGGCACGCGAATGCGTCGAAATGATTCACAATCCAGTTTCTACGTGTTTTTTTGTTTTTTGCAAAAATCAAAATTCGCAATGCAGCAATTTTGAGATTTGCAAAGAGCCAAAAATTAAAGAAAAAATCAGTTATGACGTCATTACGTGCGGCATGGCTCAATGCGCTTTTTCAAAATTTAATATTAGTATCACTTTGCTTTTGTTGTTGTTGCTGACAAAGCTGAAAACCGCGTGCTCGCCTCCTAAGCTGTAGCTTATCGCGTAGCTCCACCATAAAAAAATTGACAGCAATAAAAAAAAAATGCAAATTCAATTTAAAATAAGCACTTTAGTTGCTACGCTCAAAAATAACAAAAAAAAGCAACAAAACTTTGCTTTGAGTAATTTCTTTTTTTTTACTGTATCTATCTTCCGTCGTATTTCTTTTTCCACACACGTTTGCCTTACGATTTCTTGCTAGTCGTTGTTGTTGTAGTATTTGTTGTTAGCGCCGTTTGTTATTAGATTCTTATACACACACAATTTAATTTTTTTAGTTTTGTTTTTGCTTCCGCCGTACTATATCGCTTCGTTGTTACTTTTAGACTGTCTTCCTTAGGTTGGCAATTGCTACCTTATTGCCCCAGCAAGTCGTCAAAAGACCAAAAACTTACTAACTCATTCTCCAATTGCTCGCAATGCCAACTGCTCCACGCAAGCTATTTTAATATGTTAGTGTGTTTGTGTTTGTCTCATTCACTCCCATCGTTTTTTGTTCTCTCTCTATCTCTTTCTCTAAAGCACGATTTCTTCCCGCTTTGGCTGCTTTTCCACGTGTGTTCTTCAACTTGTTGGGGTATGAGCGCCATGAATTTGACATAGAGCACGCTGAGATTGAATTTTGAGAGTGAGCGAGTGGAGCAAGAGAAATATGTGTTCGTAGTCTATGCACAGTGGGTTAATCCCTTAAATGATGAACAGAAACTCGATTCCAAAGGAACCGAAACTCTATACCAAAGGAACCGAAAGCCGGTTCTTGGAGAACCGAAAACCGGTTCCGGAAGAACCGAAACTCGATTCCAAAAGAACCGAAAAACAGTCCCAGAAAAATCGAAACTCGATTCCTCGTTGTTTTTGATGCTATCGACTTGAAACTCGGTTTGTTTCCGTATTGTGGAGTTCTGAGTTGGCCTACAAATTTTTTTCTTTGAATTTAATGTCAAGCTAGTTTCCTTCCTCATCTTTGATGCATCCAAATCACTGTCAGCAGCGATTTGAATGGCTCAAAAACGCAGCGATAACATCGAAAAACTGATGGATACATGAATTTGTTTTAAATGAAATACTAACGTGGAAAACGCGTATTTAAATTTAATTTCATGTATTTTATTTTTATAAAATTATGTAACCACAAATATCAACTAACGAATGACTGTAATATATTTATTTATTTTTTTTCCTTTACTTTATACAAAATATATAAAAATAAATAGAATTTTTGTAAAAATTTTTCTTTCTTTTAAGATATTTTGACGGCGCCTATTTCCGTTATCGCTTATTTGAGAATCGAAACCGGTCCAAATTCCCGGTTTTCCTTGCCTTTCTCTACATGTCCCTGAACCATTTTTATTCTCCGGCAAGTCCTAGCAGTCCTTCCAGTGGAGCTTTCCAGTTGAGGCGTGAGTGCTAAATACTCGCAAAGGAAGTGCTGGACGAATTCTACCTCCTCCTCATCTCTGCAGCTTCTACAGAAATCATTATGCGGGGCTACGAGCCTGGCGGCAATATGGCCAATGGTCCAGTGTCTCATTCGTATTTCTGTGAGAAGCCTAACTTTTACCTTTGAAAGCCTTAATGAACTCCGTGTTCTTCGTTCGTCGAGCCGTGGCCAGAGCGAGCGCGATACCGTGCATGTGTGCAGATTTTCCCACCTGCTGTTGCTCACTCTCTCAACTTCTTAAGACAGAAATCGCAGGGGAGATTTCACGAACTGGATCGCTTCCCCAAGACACATCTCAGATCCCTTTCTAGCACATTCGTCCGATTCCTCATTTTCTGGAATACCATTATGCCCGGGACCCAGTAAAAATTGATTATGTGTTGCTATAGAGCTTGTAGTGATCTTCGGCATCCCTTAACGCATATCGAGTTAGTCGTTGCCGACCCTAAGGCTTTGATAGCCGCCTCAACAAGGAAGGCAAGTTTAGATGGAGCTAGGTCGACCAGTGACGAATCAAATTATAACTTACTTCTAGGCTGGACGAAGAAAGAATCTTTGATTCATGACTCGGAAAATTCGGACTGCATTACGGAACCGCTAACGAGATTAAGCCAATCGGCTCTGCTGCCATCTGTAGTTTAAGGTTCCAGCATAAAGGTACTATTAAGAATGCAAGGCTGTTAGAATTCCTCAAAATTAAATCGATCACAATGTAATGAAACCAGCCAACATAAGCTCAGCGCCTCAGGTCTTTTTTAAAATTGGTTTTTTCATACGTATATGTATTACCCCAGTAATACCGTTAAGTATTTCATTGGAAGGCGGATTGAGCACCAGGCTCACCCGTATGATACTATACTACAAATTGTATTCAGTTCGTCAGTTAGTTTTATACTACCACCCAATCGACTGTATAAGTAGAGACCTAGACACTTCTCCTATCTGGTTCAGTGTGTTACTAGCACTCGCTGCAATAATGGTTATTGTATTACAGCTGTTTGTGAATTGAATCATATGTGCAACAATATTTTCAGCTTTGGGCCTGCTTAAATCGTATCTCGTAGATATTTTCGTTCTTTGATGAAGTAGGTGCAGTAGGTGTTTAACCCCTTGGGTAACGCATCCTAACTAGGTAAAAAACCGGCTTATATGAAAATTTACCTCTCTATGAGAATGGTTGGATGGCGGGTATTTTGTTTAATACGACTCCTTTACCATTAACTAACTCATATATTCGCAAATTTTTCTGACTGGGACAAGAGCCGTCTCACCTGATCTGACATTTTCCATCATCAGAATGTTTGGTCTCGAGGGGTTGGGAAAATAAGACAACTGAATAATATGACTGATCTGTTGATTGAAGTTTTCCTAGCGGACTCGACATAGAGATTGTAATCTATCAAAGTTTCAAAACCACTTTATCCTCGTGTTCCATTTTATACATACATGCCTGAGTTATTACGTTTCTGTTCTTATAGAGCAAATTCGAAGCTATGTTATTCTTTTTGTGATCGGGTAATAGACGATTAAAAGATTTGTTTTTTTTTTTTATAAATGAGCGATGTGTGGCTTTCAACACTGAGCACTTGGCTTAATGTCTCAAAACAGGCCGAGCTCAGCATGCGAAGTCAAGGTGGTATACTCTTTTTATCAGACGAACAGGCCGCGTGCGTATAATTTTAATACTTCAAATTCTAGCTAAGCCAGCTTTACTATAGGGTGTCGGAAGTCAACTGTCTCTGGTAAAGCAAATGACATTTTCGGTCTCACGTTTTAGCTTATTTCTTCGATTCGAAATGCGGTTGGCTTGCAATTACAAAGTGCAACAATATATTCGGGGCGAAATGATTCCAACATAGGATGAAAAACTTAGATGCATATAACAAAACCTCCAAACCTCTTTGCATTTCCCAGGTAAAATTTTTGTATGGCCATATAAAGTTTGCAATTTTTTGCCTGAGTGTTTTCAGAATAAGTGGAAAAAGGGTTAAAGTTCATATCAAAGCGAAATATGTGGTTTGGGTGTATCAAGTAAAATTTCACGACGAATAATTTTGTGGAACATTTCAAGCCATTAACTTTTCACGAAAAGGTCGTTTTGATCCCTTGTTTCGTAAAGTCTGATTGAAATGCATTTGGAGGTCGCTAAAGGGTTAAAATATTCTAGAAAGCTCTTCGGAAAATTTCACTACCCCTAGATTCAGACAAAATCTATATACAAAAAAATAAAAGTCAACAAATCGGTAAAAGTACTTAAAAAAGTAAACACCAAGCCAACTCAACCGGCATTCACAGCTCATTTTCAGCTATCAAAGCATACAATCACTGGGCTTGAGAACCTGTACTCGCACAGCCAGCCAGCTTGTCAGTCAGTCACCCAGCTAGCCGAATAGCAAGCCAGAGTTTGAAATGGGCAGCACACAATTGAATTGACGTTTTCGCATCGAAATCATTATAGTATTGAAATGTATTTGTGCAAGCGTTGAAAATATTGGCCACATTCACTATTCGTCCGGTGATACATACATCAGATTTATAAATAGATACGAATGTGGGTTCCGATGGATAGCGATGAGAGCACAACATTAGCAAAAAGCCGAACATGCTAACTACAAAAAAATGTTTAACGCTAAATGCTAAAACGGCAAATGGCAAAAACGGCTAACGAAAGTACATACATATTACAATGAATAAGGGGGAAACAAATAAAAAAATAAAATAAAAGATAATAAAATAGAAACAAACAACAAAAGGCGCTGAAAATAATCGCATGATATCTAATTGTTGTTATTGGATGTGATGACGATCACCCCAGTAATTGAGCGCACTAACAACAAATGGAATTTTGTGCGCTGTTTTAGCCACTACGCGTTTCGGGTGACTACATAAATATTTTGACACACATATAAATATTTAAGTATACATACATCTAACTTTGTACTAATAACTAAGTTAGCTGAGTATTGACAAAAAAGAAAATATTTGTTAGTGAGCATGTGTGGTGAAAGATTTTCAGAATGAGCGATCGTGCGAAGAGCATATAATTTGAGAGTGTATCAAATACTTGGCTCATTCGATGCGAGGGGAGTGAGTTAATGAAGCTTAACCAATCAGCTGGCGGGTTAATTAGTGAAATTTTCTAAGCGGCGCGAAGCATTTTATTTAATTAAAATAAGCCAAGTATTTAATTGCATTACATTATTTGCACGCCAAAGTTTGCTTTAAAGTTTTTAGTACATCCAAACATCCAAACATACATATATATCACATATACTAAATACTTATAAGTGACAGCAAATGTATTGTAACGAAATTCTATAAAACTCTCGCGCTCATCAACTAGCCAAAATATAAGTATTTTAGACGCCACAAAGCTACACCACATATGTGCGAAGCCAATTTTACAGATGTTTCTCGAATATTAGCTAAAAGAATTTGCAAAATACAATAGAAAATTTGATTTTGCCAGCAGCTGAAGAGCAAAATGCTCTCATTTCTATTTGATTAATGTATGTACATATGTACATTCGAATTGGTTGCTTAGGAAGCTGTGGAATTGATGCCCATATTTTTCTGTTTTCTTTATAGATTCTTCAAGTAAATGAGTTTCTTTGTCCACAACGAAGAGGAGTGATTTCTACAAATTTATGTATGTTTACTAGGATGGTTCTTAAAAATTATCAACCTCTAAATTTTATACGAGGCACCCTTTTATTTTTTTCTACGTAACGGGTGATTTTTTTGAGGTTAGGATTTTCATGCATTAGTATTTGACAGATCACGTGGGATTTCAGACATGGTGTCAAAGAGAAAGATGCTCAGTATGCTTTGACATTTCATCATGAATAGACTTACTAACGAGCAACGCTTGCAAATCATTGAATTTTAT